AGTACTCGTACTAAATCAGGCTTATTAGTGTAATAAAATATATTAATCAAATTCTGGTAGCAATGCTACAAATGCAATGTTTAGTTCATTCATTTGTTGTACAAACTGCTTGTTGGGTATTTCGATGCAAAAATTTTTGTCTTTAAAAAAGACAGAATTTTCTCACGTCTTTTATTACAGATTGATAAATAGTGCTCCTATTTTGCAATAAGATTCATTGATCTGGTTGAGCCACCAACCCAAATGTTACGGAAATATAAGTTAGTTTAATTTTTTACTATTCATATTACTGTAAAAGCATTTTGTATTGGCTCGCTATCATTAAATTATATTCAGGGCAAATGCTAAAAAAGTGTTGCTGACTTAGACCTAGAAACTACCCGTAATTTATTTACGATTCATAATAAACTTTTATATTTGAAACTAAAATGTTTCAGTAGATTTTTAAACGCTTTATACATGCCAATATAAAAAAGCTGTAAAAAATTGCGGGTACCTATAAATTTTGTTGTTGCAAAACTTTAATGTGTGAGTATTTCTTATGTTTTTGACAATGTTTCAACCGCATACTGATACTTATATTGCCAAGAATTTTAGATTAGAAAATAACAAGACTGGCCTCCGAAATATGATAATATAACAGCTTGGATTAATATTTGTGATGTTAAAAAGCTAGTTTACCAAAGCATTGTTGAAACAATTGATCTAAACCTGAACTGTACATGGCATTAATTTTTGTATAACAATTGTACGGTGTGGGTACCGGCTAACTGTGCAAATCCTGTAAAAGCTCTTTATGCTTTTTTCCACATAGTAAATATTCAGTTAATTGCAAACTATGAAGAATCGTCGAATTAATGCCATATTTAGTATGCGCATATAGGACGCTAAATATTAAAATAATACATATAGGATGGCGTGTGTGGTTAACCAAACAAAGGACATAAAATATTGCAGCCAAAACTTGCTACACTTGGAAAAATTTACATGGTCAAAAATTTAGTGCAAAATAACTGAAGAGGTAATAGTATGAACGCTGTGAACCAACTCTCCTAGCAAACATGGGCCCGCTAAGGCACCATTTTACTCATATAGACGGTTATTTTTTCTCACCCCTTATTTAAGTTTGCTTATAATTATTATATATATTTTCGTGTACTACACAATGAACAATTATTATTTATAAACCCTGTTTTTCTTAATCATGTTATTCCAATCCAATATTTATTTTTTTACTAATTGTCAGATTAGTTTGGAGATTAAAGGAAGACACTTTGAATATCTTACGTCGTTTTGTTTTTGGCTCTGCTATAGGCCTTTTTTTGTTTTAAGTTTGCTGTAGAAACAAAATTGCAAATGACTGCAAATAAATGTTACAAATAAGAATATCTTTGTGGGCTGGATGTTTATTAATTTTTTTCGTACTAGTTATGGTGTACTTCCAACATGTGATCCTCATTCGAAGGATTTTAAGTATCTAATTTATCGATTTTGAACTTACAATTAATTTAATTAGTTTGTGCAGTTATCATAAAAAGTATCCAGAGAAAAAAACAGAGAATATAAATATATTGACAGGAGAAGCTTATTATGATTTTATTGGAACACCTTCATATGCAAATGAATCATAATTTTATCAATCAAGCAGTCATAAGGATTAACAAGTACCCACAATTTAGTAATCTTCCAAACCAATTAGGTAGTTTTTGGTTAATGGTCGACCTCTTATCGTAGTCACTTTTCAATCGGTACGTATCTGTAGCTTTTCCACGTAAATAACTAAAGGTAATCGGTCTCTGGCATTTAATTAAAAAATTTAGTAGCTGCATAAGAACCTAAATTTACAAAAGCCTCACAAAATGTTTGGTATTTTCAACCCGCTAAACTAATACATTTTCAGATCAATAAGACAGGGTTTCTAGCAAGTGCAAACTGTTGGAGCCGTATCATTTATGACATGAATATAACATTATAAGAAATTTTCTATACGCAAGTTATTTTTTCACAAGACGCAGTACTAGCTGAATAACTCTGATTCAGCACAATTCTATAAAACGTCTAAACAAATTAAACTTACAAAAATAGTAGGCCAATAACAAATAATTTATCTCATTTTCACTGAAATTGTTTGTAGGTTGCAAATGGAGCTTAGGTACAAGCAGAGGAAATCATGACTTTTTATTTTTATTTTTAAGATGAAAATAACTTACATTTTTACCTTACCAACAATTAGAGGTTATTTAGCGAAGTGTTTTACTTTAACAAGCTTCGTTTTCATTAAAGCTATTGCCAGTTTACTTACCTAATAAGACGATAATACTAAGTCCTCTATAAATTCCAATATTTTTCTAGTTAATATTTTTTTAGAATCTTGATCTATTTTTAGTTTATTTAGTTTATATTTGAATTAATTTGAAATCGGAATCTGAAACTGTTATAATTTCAGAATCGCAGTTTATAATGAAATTATATAATTTGAATACACGTCGGCAAACTGCAAGAATGGCAATTAAGCACTCGTCTGAACATATTAAGAATAACATCAACTAACCGGGATAAAATTCAAATTATCATATGTTTCTAACATATAATATACTGTTTCTGTTTGTATAATTAAACTACACCCTCTTTAGATACGGTCATTTTTAGCAAAGGCGTATTTAGCAATTTGCAAAAGCTTGGATTTACGCACAGACTATAGCATAATAATGTAATTTATCTTTCGTGTCTGGTGAAAATCTTAAACGCTAATCCAGAGATATTCTTATGCTCACCACATCTATCATATAGTATCTAATCTGTAATTCACATCAATATTCTCCAGATAAATTCGAGTAAACAGATTTTCTGAATTTTACGCAAAATTAGTAATTACCGCGGTGTAAATATATGTTGATGAAAATCCATATTGCGTTACGGCAAACAATTGTAGGGACCGAATATTAAATTCGATTATTTTTAACTTAACCTATTACTATATAAATACGTTATTTTTAAAATCGTACCTGAAAAACCATAATGTCCACCCAATGTATTAAACCGATGTAGCAAAAGTACAAAAGCAACTAATAGTACTATAAAAATGTCATTTGCTTTATATAAGTTAGCTCAGGCTTTTAGCTTTCATAAGCTCTAACCATCCTGCAAGAATACTAATGACGATTTGGCAATTTTCCAGGGTCGTTGTGAGATTGCACGATACGAGCTTGCATTTTTATTCGATTTTTCTTTTAGGTCAAACGTTTGATTGTAATTATAGATTGGCCATCGATGGCTGCACTTGTCACAAATTAAACTAACGGAGATAAGATCAAATTAAGTAAATTTTTGTAGACATTTTTACAATAAATATTTGAAGATAGGTTAACTATATTTAATTATTGTGAGCGTCCCATCCTCCTTTTCAAATTGACCTAAAAGTTTCAATTATTCATTCGTTCAATTCAATTATTAATTTAAATAAATATACCATATTATATTAACTAAATTTTAATCTAATATGGTACAGCGTAAATGTATGTTTTAATAATGCTATTTCCGATGATCAAATTTTAAAACGTTAATATGACTGCTTCATTGTCATCTTACAATAATTAAGGAATTATTTTAAAGACAGCCGATTTATTTGTTTTATTTCTTAGCAGAGAACGATTGGTTATTTATTCAAAAAATAAAATTATCCTCAACCGAGCTTTCTGTTTGATCGTGCTAGCTCCGTAATAAGCCATTTTGCGACCGGAATAGCTGTGCGTCTCTGAAACGCACAATTTATTTAAAAAGCAAAAAACGGGGGTGCCCTTTTGATGAAAAAAAGGAACAGAAAGCGTCAGTGAAAAAATACGATTTGTCATAAAACATCTAACTTATATGGTCGTTGAAAAAGTATGTAAGGTATGTCATGTGCAGAAAACTCATTTCCTTGCTCTTAAAACTGTTTTACACAAGATTTATTGAGAGAAATAGCAATTTTCATTAATTCCTTCCTTATCGTGTAACTGAGTTTGAACGAGTTTTGTTGACAAAAGTAGGAAATTCACGATTTGCAAAACAGTTTTTCATTTCGGATTGATCTATAATTTAAAATAGATACATTTTAAATAGTGCAATTTTCCATACTGACTTGCAGAGGAAAGCTTTTCAATGCACAACGTTAACTTATAAAAGTACACTATTTCTTTTTCCTTCTAGTTCAGTTATTGAGTACCTATAATGGCTCGGTAATTTCTTATTGGTAAAAATCCGATCTTAGACACGAAAGAAATAGTAAGCGTTAACGAAAAGCTCGGCCTTTCAATGCGGAAAATTGATCATCCAGTCCGGCTCAAAAGTGCTATAGTGAATTATTTTCAAATTCCTTTTCAAAGCTGTTGCTTCTTGTACAGTTTACGGTCATTTTATTTCAGCCTTGATATGAATTACTGAACATTTGAATTTTTTGCTAATATTTGATGGATTTATAAAAGGTTTTCAAATTAAGAAATAGCAGAAATTAATATTCCTATAGTTCTAGTTGAAACATATGATAATTTGCTTATCCAGTAGTGTTTAAACTTTTTTTGAGTGAAACTCGTGCAAATCGGTTAATATTCTGAACTACAAGTATATCTAGCTTCTTAATCAAATTATTTTTTCATTTCGACGTGATTCCTCCTTACACATCGTGAAAACCAAAGCCAAATATTCTGTACATGAGTATGTACATTTCTAGCAAAAAATGTGGTTTTGAAAAGCACTCTTATATGCAGCTTTTAGAGTAAGAATGGGTGCTTTCGTGACATATAATCAACCTGCTAAATTAATTTTTAATGACAATTTTTTCGGATGCCTTAAAACGTCCCCAAAATGCACAATACCAAAGTGAGCAGTATAGTGTAATATTTGCATTATATTTGCTTATGATTGCCCTCGATTAACATTAACTGCAAACACTGGCAACGCAAAATGGATGTTTTCGTCGCCCATTGCGATAAATATTTTATTATTAATAACAAGGCGTATCTATCCTTTTTCTGCTAACAAAAGATTAGGCCCTCATATATTGAGCCATACTACTTACTAAAACAAAAAGGTATTATACGCGGTCTTGGAAAGTTGGAACAGATATACTGTTCCAACTTGCAAATTTTCAATATAATTTGAAAAAGCTCATAAAAACAAATTATTTTGTGGGGTTTTAAATTATTTAGGTATTTGTCAGTGGTTTGCATGGAATTTTTCTATTGCGGCTGTCGGGCGTAAAAAACGCACCCTTTTACAAAAAAAAGAAGAAAACGAACCACCGAGGGTTCCGGTCGACGTAGCACCGTAACATTCAATTTTCGCTCCCCTTTTGTTCTCTCGAAAATAGTTGCTTACAAATCTCATTCGTGTTTTGTATAATAAAATACGTGTGTTTGGCACGAACCAAACTGGACCTTCGAATATTTCTTTTTTATTAGAAATTTGGTGTGTTAATTCAACCGACCATAAAGCCTCCAGTGCGCCTGTGGAGACAAATAAATTTAATGCAGTCTACTAAAGTTGCTCCACCTGATTGGGCACTTCACCGTGCCCAAACAACAGGAGTTTAAGGAACGTTCGAATCGTCTCCAGCTGCTACTGCTCCAGCTACTTGAACATTTTCCAGTCTTCTTTAGTTCATATGACTCAAAATTTAAAAAAACGTGATAGGAATTTGAATGGAAAAACCATGTTCATGCAGCTTACAAGATGTTAATCTATGTAGTTATTTGTATTCGTCTGCTTTCTCCCCAAATTGAACATAATGTCACGTCGAATTTCCGTCTGCAGATTCACTATTCGAGTTTGGTTGGGCCAGAGAATAATTTTGCCTCGTTTCCTCGTTAGGTGACCCGCCTCAATTTAGGGTCTGTGACTACATCCCAGGGTTATACCTACCGACGCAATCCAATTTGGGTAATGTAGTTATTGCTTGATGATTTTCCCGCTGCATAAATTGCCAGTCCGCGTCAACTTTAAGTGACTATGATTTCCGACTCACGAAGTTTCTGATGCAGTAATTAAAGCAGTTTTTATTTGAGCAACCGACAAAGTTTTAGATATACTAAAAGCAGCGGCAACCACAGTTTTGGTATGGGTGTAGAAAAAACATAATTTTCTGTTTTTGCCAACAGGATTGTGTTTCACAGTCCTGTTGGCGCCCCATTCCTTCAAACACTGCTATATTTGCAGCTTTAATACAAGAAACCGAAACTAGTTAAAAAAAATGCTAGATCTGTTGTAGGCAATTCCGTCATTTGTAGTATGCAATATTGTTTTTATTGATTTTGTTAGAATCTTATTTACTAATGGCTTATTATTTTGAGGAGATAGCTTTTAAAAGTCTGGAGTATATTTAGCTAATTTAATATAAATATATGCTTATATGCAGCATACAACGTGTATAAAAAACAAAATTTAATAATAATAAAAATTAAACTAATATAACATTTACTAATATTACACCACTAAAACTGTAAGAATTATAATGTTGCAGTATTAGAGTTAATTCGAATTAAAAAATTTAAAACCCCTATTATTTCCAAAATTTAAAATTAGTTTCCAATTTCGTGATCAATTCGAAAGCAAAAAGGCCACCTGATATTTCTTTGTAGAACACTCCAATTTCAAGTAAAAAATAAAAGTCGATTCATCCCGGTAGTCGATTTGGC